TAGTGCTAGAGAGTGCTATCTCTATCTCGAACAGGTCATGATTTCAAAGAGAGAGGGCGACGACGACAACGCGACACCGGCACCGCCGGCAATTGGTCACAAAAGATCCTCGCCGGAGTCTGCTGCGATCGTCATCCCTCACGCTTACGCAAGGAGCGCGGACTCTGAAGCGCTGGCCAAGGTTCTCGAATTGTTGTCCAAAATGGATGCAAGGATGCAAAAGATGGAAGCTTCGCAAGCAAGGATTGACGAGGGCGAGATAATGCTTGTCGTCGAAAGAAGCGGGCTGTCCGCTTCCATACTTGGTGCTGACTTTACCGGCAGGCTTCATCGCGGAGCTTTGGAAACTTAGGGCCTTCTTGAACGGCATGGATCAGCACAAGATTGACGTGCGGGTGGTCGGCTTGAAGACCTGAAGATGGGGCCTCGACACCCTGCGCTGCAACGCGCCGAGCCACTGCCGCAGCCGCCGTTTCACTTCTACCATTTTAGCTGCAGACAATGCCTCAAGTCCTACCAGGGCCACCGCAGCAATTCCCTTAGCCCATGCACTACCGACTCCTGATGCAAGGCAATGCAAGCTTGCGATCCGCAAGTTTGGTGGCACCGAGGTGTACGTCGGGCAGGAGTCAATTTTTTCTATTGAGGTAAGACCTTTTGGCGCCAAGTGGACATGACCCAAGAGTCGTGCGGTTTACTATGGAGTGAGACTGTCAAAACCAACGTGCCTGGCCATTAACTGACTGGGACCGCCGAGAGTTAATTCAACAAGCAAGTTTTATCATGGTAAATTGTTGACGCTGCAATACGTGATGCAACGTATGCTAGAACACTTTTAGACAACTATCACAGCATCACAAGCCATGGAGCTGTTCTCGGCCAAGAAAGAGAACAATCGTACGTGGCCGGATCCCTACCTTTACCTAATGGCGGTCAGTGGCGCAGCAGGTGGAGCAGATCAGCAAGTGTTGGACAGCATTGTCAGGTATGCGATACCAGAGCTATCAAAGATACTCATGACCAAGTATGACACGCACAACATGGACTACCTTGTGCACGCGGAAGAGCTGGCCTACTTCGCCCAAGCTATCGAGATGGAAGCTCGTCCGGGACGTTTCTTCGAAGAGGAAGTCGTGCGCATGTGGATGAGTCCATTACGCGCAAGGAGACGCGTACCTGCTACAGATGCGTTAAGGTCGGCCACGTCAAGGCTGATTGTGGCGGCAAAAGGACTGGTGATGCAAACGGCGGCCGTCGCTGCAGACGCGATGGCAACATGGTGCGTTCCGTTGGAGGAGGCAATGGAAGCAAGGGTTTTCGTGCCGTTAAAAATGAGCTCGCGATGGCAATAGGCGACGACGGTCACACCGGGGCTGACGAGTGGGTACTCGAAAGTGGTTCCAGTAGACACCTCGTCAACACCGACTCACTCCTTATGAATGCAAGAGATTGTAAAGAAGAGTGTCACCTCTCTGACGGCGACACGGTACGCCTATCGCGGGTCAGGAACGTGGTATTGATAGTACTAGCAAAAGGAAGGCAGAAAACGGAGACGCTGACAGTCGTATTCCTCGCGCCCGAGCTGGCGCGCAAAATCGTGCCATACGTGAATCTCGAGCGTAAGGGGTTTGGCTTTGTTTACGATGGGATGACACGCTTTCTGAAGAGAAGTAGGGACGGCGATGTCGTGTTCGACGTGATGATGCGGTACAATGTGCTTTACTGAGGTCGGTGCAGTCAGCACGCACGACACAGACTCCAAACGACGTGCTGATGGCGGTGTTGATACGGGAAGAGACGCCTGATGAGACGGATGCTATTTTTCAGATGGTCTATCTACTACATTTTCACTAGCGGCTCGTGCTTCTCGCTTGCGATATTATCGAGAGAATGGCTAAGGACCCCATGTCTGGCATTAATCTCACGGATACAAATCGGCCTACTTGTATCATGTGCGCTCGGTGAAAGCAGACGACGATTTACCAGTCGCGGAAAGAAACTGGTGCGAAATCACCCATCGGTAGAATCGGTAGAATTATTTGCCCTAATTTAGAGTACCCGATGACGCCGAAGGACAGGCTGGGGAACCGTTTTCTTCTAAACTTTATCTGTCACGAAAGCCAATAAATGTCGCGTCCTTTCTGGATCCTACAAATGACAAGACCGCGAAGAAGTTTGAGCGCTTTCTGGCTTTTTCGAGCGCCGGTTCAAATGTCGTATCCACGTGCTCCACACAGACGAGAGTGGCGAGTACGCGAATGTTGACCTGTTCTGCAAGTCGACAGCAGTTGCGCGGCAAATTAGTGAGGCAAGAAACCAGGCGTCGAACGGAAAGGCGTAGCGCATGCAATGGACAGTGCTGAACATGGCACGCAGTATGTTTTTTCAGTCGTCTTCCGGTGCCATTTTGAGGGGAAGCATATAAATTGCTGCGCATATACTTAACCGCAGTCCAACTAGTGCTAACGCTAAGAGGTCGTCGACGATGGAAATTTTGACCGAGCGCGCTCACTATCTTCGTGGTATCGTCGATTTCGGATCAATCCGCACGGTTTACCGGGACCTGGGCAAGAATTCGCTAGCGCAACGGGAACAAGTTGGCGTCACGATCGGTCGCATTGATGAGAAGAAGCGGTTCAGGGTGCTTCTTCAGAAGGAGAACAAGTCCACGGTGACACAGCACGTTTCGAAATATTAAATCCATCAGCGTGGAGCCAAAAATTCAGCTCTAACACGCACTCGAGTTTGAAGATCAGGCGGTCGCGATAGACGCACCAGGCGCAGTCGATATTGGGTATAAATCAATGCCTGTGACAAACACCCCTGCAAAAGATGAGGAACGTGCGCGAATGTTGCGAGCCGGCAAGAAGAAGTCGAAATCCTTGGGTCGTGCGGCACACAGGACGCGCAGCTCGACCAAGCGCACGCATGGATCAGGCGGTCAGGAGGAGCCGGATCAAGAAGAAGATGTATTACAAGAAAGCTTGGTAGCGCATGTGTACGAGCGCGACCCCAAAATCTACGGGGAGGCGATGCGCAGCGCAGAAAGAAAGCTTTGGGAGAGAGCAATGCAAGAGGAGTCACCAATTCTCGGAGATAATGGCGTGTTGAGCATTCATAAGTGATCAAAAGGAAACAACGAGTTGCACAAGAAATTGGTATACAAAACGAAGACAAATACCGATGGTCAGCTCGAGCGTCTGAAGGCAAGACTCGTGGCGTGCGGCAACGAGCAGGATTTTGTGGTGGACTACCAACTCGACTTTGCGGCAGTCTTGGAAATGTCGACCGTTAAGGTAATACTGGCGATTTCAGCAATCTGGGGCGTGCCGGCGAAGTACGGGAATATCTTTGACGCCTACGTAAGGATGAAAAGGAAGCCCGCCTGTATATTCTGCTACATGTTCCACAGGCAATGAAAGTTAGCGAGGCAAATCTCAAGACAATTGGATCAACAAACACGAGGGAAGTCGTTCGTCAGTTACGTGAAAATCTATACGGCCGCAAGTAGGCCGGACGGATTTGTAGCCAGCTTCTGCACACTCGGTTGCTGGTAGATAACTTTAGCCAGTGTGTCCTGGACATGTGCCTCTTCTGGAAGGTCGTTTAGGGCCAGCTGGTCGTCGTGGGTGTGTACGTGGACGTTCAGCTGGCCACTGATACCGGCACAGCTTCTGTCGAACGTTTCTTTGAACAGCTTAAGCCTGTCCATCAAGGAACTCGGAGTCTTCAGTAAATTTATTGGAATGCGCTTCGCAATGGAAAACGACGGCAACTACGTGCTGGACCAGTCGGAAGCGGTAGGCGAGCTGTTGCGCAAGAACGGTCTTGAGAACGCCAACACGACGCGAGCTCCGATGGGATAGGACTGATACGAAATGCAAACAGAAGACTGCGGGTTGTTGGGAGTGAGCGCAGATGGTGGGGCCCAATGATCCGGACGTTCCAATCCCTTGTCGGCAGTGTGCTTCGGGGGCGCGCTTCACACGGCTAGACATCGCGTTTGCAGTACATAAAGCAACCCGCCAGACCCACCATCCACTACTGCACGATCTTAAGCTCGCGAAACGGATCGCGCGCTACCTGAAAGGTACGTGCGACATCAAACTGCACATGGAGTCGATGAAGGTCCCAAATAGCGATATACGGCTTGAATGCTACTCGGACGCCGACTTCGCCGCCGACATATCGAACCGGAAGTTCCTGACCGGTGGGATCGTTTGGCTGAACCGGATGCCGGTGATCTGGACGGCGAAGAAGCAGGGAGGAGTCACACTCTCCACCAATAAGGCAGATTTTGTTGCTGCGTCGGAGCAAGCGCGCGATCGGCTTGGCATGAGAGAGATGCTTTGCGAAAATAGGAAAGCCCCTACGCTTCCAATGGCGCTGTACGTCGACAATCAAGCGGCGTTGAAGAAGTTGGCGGACGAGGCGGAGCCACTGAAGGCGAAGCACATCGACGTGCGACTGAAGTTTGTCTGCGACTGCACCCAGCGTGCAATAGTCGCGGCCTAGTATGTGCGATCGGAGCTGCAAATGGCGGAACTGCTGATGAAGGCCCTCAACGCTGCAAAGCCTTGCGGAATTCTGCAAGTTGCTACGATTCGGGTAAATGGACGGAACTTCATGGCCGAGAGAATTGTTGAAAACGAGATTGTCGTGCTAAGTGCGATCGCACACGAGCGCGCGGCACGACGACGGGAATGGCGGCCATTGTCTCTGCGATTTCATTGTGCATCCATTGTGTGACACAATATGCCAGATTTGATGATCGAATGGACAGGAATGGTGGAAAGTGAAGCGTAGAAAAGGAATTATAACATCAATGTCAGAATATTTTTACTGTAGTGCTAGAGAGTGATATCTTTATCTCGAACAGTGAGGCCATCTCACTAACTCGCAGTACATCAGACGTAAAAAGATGTTGATGAATACAATTTATATAAACTAAGCTAGTTTATGGAAGGGGTTTTCACTCGATAACGGATTTCCAAACGTGGTTATGCATGCGCCATGCGCTGTGTCAACGTGTCGAGGACATCCCGCTGCTTTGTCTAGAAGATGCCTCTCAGCGAAAGGTGCATTAAGCACGTGCGGTATAGCTTCATTTCCCACTAAAAATGTAAAAATTAGATTCGGCCGACGACGTGCTTACAAACGAAGTCACCATACTGCCGCAGACCGCACGCAAAAAATCGAATTTACTGCCCTGTGAGATGCCCCATTCCTCGACAAAATACGCGCTCACCTCGTGCTTGTCGAGGACGGCGCACAACTTTACATCTTCGTCGTACGTTATGCGAAGTAGCATGTGGTCCGACTTGACATCTTTAATGTACTTCTCATTCCGTCCATGTTTTCGCTAGCTGCTCACGGTCCGGCGCCAGAACGTCTTTGACGAACATTCGCGGCGACATCTTGAGGAGCTGCGCAGACATGACCGGCGGTGCATCTCGCACGCGAGGTAGAATGTTGGCGTCGCGCTCTGATCGCACGCTCTGCATGCCGAGCAATAGGATCATCGCGTAGGTAGCGACGTCGCAATCGACGTCTAGCTTCTCGTAGTCTCTCAGCGCCGCCAACAGCTGCGGGGAACACGATCCCTTGTCCATATTGTGAGCGACATTGTCTGCATAAGAGATACTCTTTCCACCGTCAACTAAATAGCCTTTCATCTGACCATCGGTAGAGTCAATGCTGAACATCGCGATAAGCGATCGAATCAAATTGACAATGTTCTCATCCTGGTGCGCTATCAGGAGCGCCTTGTTCTGCAGTACTGCAATTGTCTTGTTGACACTGCTAATGGCAGGAGACTTATTGTACGTCATGATCAACCAGAACGGCGACGGCAAGACGAATTTATGATGATTAGCCGCGTAGTTGACCACTCTTTGCCGGTATATGATGAAAAATCTCAGCACGATGCCATAATGGACCCAGCGAGTAGTCAGCTTCGGGCACTTGACATTCATCTCGGTGATTAAGCTGTTATGAGCATGCATTAAGACTCTAAACGCATGCGCTTTGGAGACCCATTTGCCGTAAAACACATTGGCCGACAATTGCATCAATTCCAAATCATTTCTATTAGGCGCGCACCGAATGCGAAGGACTGGATGTTCAGCTGCAGCGCAAATTTAAGTGAACAAGCCGGCATGAAGGCCAGTCATTGCGTTTTCGCCGTCCGTAGCGACGCAAAGCAATTTGCCACGCGACGATTGATGCAACGCGTCCATAAACTTGCATACCGTAACAAATATGATCTGCGATGTATACGTGTCGAACATTGAGATGGCGACGAGGTACAAGTTGACCAAGACGCCGAGGTAGCAAAATTGCGAGCGCATTTCAAAAAACGACTGGCCGCGATGCGTACTTCCATCACACGCGATAATAAATTTCCAGACGGACGCGTCACACATGAAGTCCGCAATTCGTTGCAAGTTTGACGTGACAAGGGCGCTAATGAACCGGCCGACCATCAAACTGTTAATATCTGCAAGATTCGGCGTTTACGTACGTCGCTTGGCATGTGTGATTACCATGAGCGCCTACCTGAATGACATGCCGCTTCCCATGTGGTCCAATGCGAGTTCGAAACGTATCAAATTCTTTATAATGTTGACAAACTTCTCAGTCTCCGAGTCCTTGACGAATAGCCTTATCGCATGCGCCTATTAATTGGACTTCTTGGCGATTTTCTTGGCTACTGACTTTGATGCGTCAGAGGGCAAGAGGTCTTCTCCATCGTCGTCTTCAGCATTGCCCAACATTTCGTCGTTCTTGAAGAATATGTAGCCGATGATGGTATCGACGAATGGCGGCGAAACTTTGAATTCCATAGTGCCGCCTTCAACGTCGAGTAAATAATGCAACGTGTCTAAGATATTCGTCTTCTTATTAAATGGACGCCCTTCTCCGCGTTATACAACTTGATGTACTCGGACCAGGCTTTTCATGATGCGACGTATTGTGACTGCGACAAGTCTGCGTCGCGAACCGTTTCGCGTATTATTTGCTGTAAACGCGCGACTTACGCTTGCGAACAGTTGAGCTTCCAACCTCAACGTTATCACGCATGCCATAGATGCAGAGCAGGCATCGCGCAGTTTACGCGACGCCCTTTCCCGTACTAATAAGCTCAAGTTCGAGCTTTAGCGCATGCTTCTCCTGCAACGGCGTCGTCTTGGGCTCCATTAAAGCACTCGTGTAGCGGAGCTACCCAGCTCCTAAAGTCAGAGGAAGACTTAACGCTCATGGAGCAACTTTGGTTCTACGAACCCGACTCAAAGAGTCAACAGCTCCGAGAGATAAGGTTTGGTTTAAAGAACCCGACTCAAAGAGTCAACAAGCTCAAAGAGCTTACGGTCCCTGTTCCAGGGGGACCAAACGATTCAAAGAATCAAATGCACAGAGTGCACAAGGAGTAGCAGCCTTAACAAGGCGTTGTTATCTCCTCAACGATCGCAAGACGCCTCGTAAGGCACGTGTTTTATGTTGATCAAAACGGGAGCTGAATTTTATTTCTTCTTTTAACCTAAAAGAACACCGTAGTAAATAGCCTACTCACTTATGCCCTAAATAAACCTATTAAAAGATATCGTAATCAATGATTGACAGACATCAGTCTTTAACAATTGATACTTGTGTTCTAATATTACTATAAAGGGGATCTCATCCCTTGTGTGTACCACACCTATTGTCGACTACCAGTCGACGTGTAACCCCGTTACAACCTCCCCCACCAGACTGAAGTTTCCACAAAACGTCAATCGAATTCTTTCCTCGAAGAGGACGGTGTGTGTGCGTTTCATCCTTACGGTTGGCAAAACACAAAACACCATGGCATCACCATTACATGAGTCCTCGACTCTCTTGTTCTACCTCGGCATCGAAGTGGAGGTGTATTATGGTAGCGATAACGATATCCATGGTGAAGAGAGGACAATGTCCGACTCATCAGTGCAAGAGGCACCGCCTCATACTGCACCAAACCCATTTGCCGAGCGTGGCGAACCCAACGCGCCATCGGCGCCGCATCAAATTCCCATCGTGGGCGATGCCATCATCACCAATCCGCTCGATGAGCAACAACAGTTGGCTAACCAACGACAGGAGAGCGCTCAGCGCCGTATGCAGCTTGCTGCAACCCTTGAGGGTCGTCGTGGCTATATGTTCACACCACTCAATGTGGAAGAGCGTTTACGCCAAACGACAGGTCATTCTTTGGCACCGTGGGCCATTGACGCTGAGCCAACATCTTTGGATGAGGTGGCGAGTCGACAGGTACTTCGCGAGAGGTACCTGCAACCTCACTTGACGAATAAGAGTCAATACAAGTTGCGACTTGACACGCAAGCACGGGGTGCACCGATTCCACCGATGAAGGGTACAACCATCCTCTTATTCTCAGGCAAACCAGAGGAGGAAGAAGACACCGCTTTTGTTCGCTGGGTGCATCGAAAACGACACCTCAGCAGCGTGTTAGCTCTCAGAGCAAGTGACGATGTGGCAGATGTTCGTCTAGAACGGAAACTTCGGTTTAATTACGCCAAGTTTGAGGCCAAAGGCCAGTTGCAAACTCGCGCACCTTATGCTCCGGCTGTGCCGCTTGATGTGGGTGTTAGTCACGCGGTGCCCAACTACCCACCTGCCTCTACCACTATTGGTTAGAAGTGCTCTCGGTCGAGGGATGACCCCTGCCACGATGTTCAAAACATTAACGGCTTATGGGCAATCCTGCCGAAGGGGTATCTCAAACTCCCACGAGTTCTCCGACTCCAGGTACCCTCGCCACTTCACCAGATACTGGTATTGACCCTGACGACGACGTCATTTCAGGAGTCGCTTAACATGGAACTGGCGGTTCCCTTGCTCATCGAGCAGCGTCGGAGGTGGTCGGTATACCGAAGGAGGAGCATGAGAAGATGCCTCTCGAGATGAGTGGTCTCCGTGAGACATTGGGTAAGACCCAGAGTGCGTTTGACGCAATGCGAGCTCGTGTCCAGACGTTGGAGCTGGACCAAGCCCGGATGGAGGCTCAGCTTGACCTCCTGATACGAATTCAGCAACCGATGGCAAGGCCAACCAATGCGGCGCAAGAGCCTCCAAGTTCACGTGGGACGGATTCCGATACGGCTTAAGCAAGCCAACGTAGAACACGGGTCGAGTGCACAGTTTGCGCGGAAGGTTGAGCGTATACGCAAGTCGCTTCTTGGCGACGACCGTAAATGGTCCAATGAAGCGCGGACGCAACTTTGTCTTGAATACGGCGGACACTACATTTGTAGGTAGGTTTTAGCATTGAGTAGTGCTTGGTCTCCGAACTCGTTCAGTTCAATAAAACCTCTGACCTTAGCATCAGCTTGTTCCTTCTGCTTGTCTTGCCTATCAGCCAGTTCTTCACGCACATGTCGTTAGACATTCAATCGCGTTGCGAGAAACTCGCTTACCTGTTTTTGAACAATATCAGGGCTGATATCAGCAATCCGATCGGCAACGCCTCCCCCACCTAGCCCTGAACCACGTAGTGGTAGCGTTAACGGAACGCGAGGATGTGTGAGACCATTCAAATAGAACGGTGTGTAGCCGGTGGAGGCATGCACGGCGTTATTCAACGCAAACTCAACGACAGGGAGCATCGAACTCCAATGCTTAGGCTTTCAAGCGCAAACACTGCGCAAGGTGTCACCGATGATGTGATACACTCGCTAGGTTTGACCATCAGTCTGCGGATGATCCGCTGTGGACATGTCCAAACGTGTACCGAGTACCTTAAAGATGGATTTCCGAAACTTCCCAGTGAAGCGAGGATCTCTGTCAGAGACAATTGCCAACGACAAACCGCTTTGTCGAAACACGCGATCGATAGACAGCGTAGCTTAATCCTCACAATCAATGATATCCGGCACCGCCGCTAAATGAGCCATCTTGCATGAACGGTCAACAAAGATCACAATACCCGTACTTTCATTGGAATCTTTTGGTAAATCGAACAGGAAGAACATACTGATGGACCCCGACAACCCTTATGTATAGAAAAACTAGCCAGCGATGCGGCCGCGTGAGGTGAGGGTTTCACCCGTTGACACGTTTCACACGTACGCACATATGTGCTCACCCATTTGAATAGTTTGGGCCACCAATAGCATTGGATAACTCATCCGTAGGTCTCTCACGACCAAGATGACCTCTCAAAGCAGTATCATGTGTCTAATAGAGGATCTGATACTTCAACTCCTCGTTGTGAGGGAACCTATACGAGGAGCATCCTTCACATCCATGCTATAGCACAACAGTTCCTGATCGATATAATGTCGATGTAGCCTCGCACGTAATCGTGCCAGTATTTCTATGTCTGAGTCCTTAAACTTCTCGCTCCCTAGATCATGTAGCAGAGCCACACAGTGTTCATCCTTGGCATATTCCGTACGGATTAGATCATAACTGACGACGACAGAGTCGTAACATGAGCAAGCTCATAGTCAGGCCTGTGTGACAACGCATCAGCCAAAGCATTCTGCTTGCCTGGCTTACACTTCACCTCGAAGTTGTACTCGGCAAACAAGGAAAGCCAACGAGCTATTCTCTGAGCAATGTTGCGAATGGGTCGCAGTGCGCTATAACGCATGATCGGTGAAGATCACACACGGATTAGAGCCAAGCAGATGTACTCTAAATTGGACGAGATCATACTTCATTGCAAGTAGCTCTTTGTCATCAACCGAATCGTTCTTTCTGCAGCCTTCAGATGCCGGGAATCAAACGCAATGACGCGTTCCGTCCATCAGAATCTGTCTGTAACAGAGCGCTGCCTATGGCAAAGCAAGATGCGTCACAGACGACACTGAACGATCGATCAGGATCAGGCAAAGCCAAGATTGGCGCATGAAGGAGACTTTCCTCTACTGCTTGAAAAGCATCATGCTCGGTGCTAGTCCAGCACCATTCCACATACTTTTTAAGGAGATTGGATAATGGCCGAGCCATATCTACGTATTTCGCACTGTAATTGTGCAAGTAATTGGCAAGGCCAATCCACTTACGTAAGTTCTTTTGGTTCTTTAGAACCGGTCAATCAGCTATGGCTCTCACCTTAGCGGGATCCGCTCCAAGGCCTCGCTTCCCACTGAAGCATTGTAGAACGGGAATTTCTTCTGCACCAAAGATGCACCTAGACGCGTTGGCGTACAACTTGTATGTGCGCATGCACTCGAGCACCGCTCGTAAAGGGTCAATGTGATTGTCTACATCGTACCGACCGTTCATAGCACGACTATGGACAAAGATGTCATCAAAGTACGTCTGTAAATATCCTCGGTGAGGTCTGAACAATTGCGTCACAAGACGATTGAATGTAGCCGGGGCATTTGATAACCCTTGCGGCATAACAAGCCACTCCCAGAGCATACCGTTGGGAGTGTTGACCGCTGTAAGATGTATATCGCTTTCTCGCATGAGCAGCTAGTAATAACCATCGACTAAGTCGAGCGCACTGTACATTGTACATCCCACCATATTGTTATGAAAGACATCCTTCCTCGGATTGGTGTCTGATCCGGGATGGTGGCCGCGTTAGCTTATTGTAAGCATGAACAATGCGCCACTTCCCATTGGGCTTTTTGACATAGAAGGTCGGTGTGGAAAGAAGAGATTTGCTCTCACGTACCATTCCTGCCGCGTGCTTTGCACGAAATAAGTCGTCAATGACGTCACACTGCTCCTTTAGTTAAGGCCACTGCCGTGTTACGCAGTATTTTAGTTCCAGTGACCAAGTCAATTTCTTGACGTACACGTCTATCGGGAGGTAAGACGGACGGTGAATTGTGACACACCACGTCCTAGAACTCGTTTACCAAAGTATAGAACGGATCAAGAGGATCCTAAAGGATCGAAGATCCACTACGGACATCCAATGCCGCCTTTGTGTCCTCAATGATTTACTCTTCCAATAACGAGGATGAGTTCAACTCATTATCCGGCCGAATGACCACTAACTTAGATATTTCTCCTGCTTGTAAGGCTTGGATAAATTCGCTGTCAGACATTTCGTCTAGGTCAAAGAGAGTAGCCAAGGATGGAAGGGTCTCAAGACTAATGTTGCCATCAATCTGGCCAGTCAACCCATTGACAAGTGGATATAGTGTATTATCACTATTATCAATTTGTGGCTTCTTAGACGTTGGGCGCTTAACAGT